CAGGCGCTTCCTGCGTGCTTCAGCTCCTTCAACTTCACGCTTTCTCGTTGCCGTTGTTCTTAATTAGTAGAGTTCTGACGCACCGCCTTGGGTTCGGCGGGCAACCCAGAGTCCTCAGCTCGGCCTTTGTCGAGATCCGCGTGAATAATGCACACGCAGGAACTGTGCTGCCTGTTTGGTGCCTTTTTAATGGGGGCAGGGGGAAAGGCCTAAGAAAGGTCTTAGTGAGAGCTGTACAGATGAGCCAAGTAACCGTAGCGCAAAAAAAAAAAAAAAAGCACCTTACCTTTAGTGAATTTTGAAGTCAGTTGTGTCAGGGCTAGGTTTTAAATTGTTAAAACGCTAGTGACTGCATTACTAAAGCTTCCGCCCTTTTAAGCAGTGAACAGATGAATTTCAAATACTGTCAGCGAAGCTCATTTCCTGAACACAGTTGTTTTATTTACTTAGTACCATTGTTTTCTTGTTCCCTTAAGAACCAAGTGCAGGTTAATACTTGAAAACAGATAATCTTGATTTGAGTTATAAAGTGGTAACACGCAATGTCTTATTTCTAAAGGCTTTGAAAGAAAGACTACAATGTAATTTATATTTAGGTTTGTGTTAGCAAGCATACATTTAAGGTGGGATGCCGATTAAATTTATTCAAAAATCTGGGATTGCATTGAAGAAATGTAACAACTTATAAGCTGTTAATAGAGCATTTGAAACAAGAAACAATTATGCTTTTGTCTGGTTATATAAAGTGTCATCACAGAGTGGTGTGATTCTTGGGGTTTTTTCCTATTATCTGTCCAAATCCTTGAAGCTAAGATTATAAAGAAACTTTAATTACCAAGGAGCTTTTTTTTAGTGCACTTAACAAATTGTCTTAAATCATGAACTAAATTAGGGACACTAAAAATAAAATGGTTATCATCATGCCACCTGGTTGAAAATCCGAAACCATGAATTTTGTGAACTATTTTGGGGGTGTTTTAGTTTGGCGTGTTTTTTCTTAGCCTGCTTTATTTTCCTCTAGTGAAGTATATGGGAAACGATTTATATACTTCATTCAGTATGATCATCTTTTTAAGCTGCACTTCTAAAATTCCATGTATTTTGCCAAATAGTCATAGTTACTATCAGGCTACACTGGAACAGGAATGGCATTTCTCTGATAATGGCTCACTCAAGGTGCTTCAAAGGAACAGTCTTAGTGGGCGCACCTTATTTTGAAAAGTGCAAGGAAAAGAGAAAAGTGCACTGAAAACATCTTGGAAAACACTGAGGATAGGGAAGTTCCCTCCTAATCCCCATTAATCAGATACATATCTGTAGACTGATGTGCTAGGTGGCTTATCTCCTTTTTCAAAACACTAGATTAAAGTTGCATAGTGCAGAAGTTACTACTCCATCTCTGGTAGAAACTACTGGTTTATTTTTCTGAATCACAGTGAACTTTTGACAAAGATTTCCACGCTTTATTGTGTGACAGTCTTTCCCTTTGCTGGTCTGTATTGTGCTCCCATAAAAATAGTTGATATGTAAATTTTAAATGATTATCTTCTTTTGCAAATTTTGAACCCAGAGGAGTGAAAAATAACATAGAAGTACACTAACTGGTATGTGTTAGTACTGAAAGAAGATTTTTCTCTTTTTTTTCTTTGACAAAAAATGTAAGATAAAAACTAAACATCAGGAGGAGTTGGAAACATTTTCAATGAAGTATTTTTTAAGTTTTCTTTTTTTCTAAAATGTAGCTTCTTTAAAGATTCATAGTCCAGTCATAGTACAGTAGGAACTTAATATTTGCAAGATTAACTGTAGATAAAACTGAAAATATTATTATGCAAACATTATTTTTGTATAATTTTTCAATTTTGTATTGCTGTTGTGGCTTTAAAAGCTATCACTTAGGATTTGACGAACACCCTGATAAGTAATAGGGAAAAATACTTGTGGCCGTTACTAATCAGTTTTTTTGTTTTGTTTTAAGTGAACTTAGTGGATGGCTGAAAGTTGGCTTGGGCATTGAGTGCTGAAATGTTTTGCTGTTTGAGAGTCGTGAGAAGGTAGGGCATGTTGCTGACCTAATTTGCCATTCTCATATGTGTAAGTGATGTTTGTTTATGACTTAAGTGTATGTGAAACTGAGTTTGTGTTTTTGTTTACTGCTTATTTCTTTGACTTTCTCATCTATACAGCTTGAAGTTTTCAACATAGTATCCGCAGCTGAAAATCCCCAAAAGCCATATGCTTGTGCTCCAGTGAGATATCAAAAAGGTTTTACAAAACAAAGGTTTAAAAAAAACAAAAGTTTTAAAATGGCTTGATTATGAGAAAGTGGTATTCTGAAGCTGAACGTGATATGCAATATATTATTGCATTACTGGGTCATTAAAACTCAATATTTCAAAAGGAGAGGAATATGTCTATAATAATGAGCTTAATTTTAACAAGGCTTTTCTGTGGCAAAGCTATAACCAAAAATGTTTAACTTTGGAGAGTTGTGGAAAAAAAAAAATTGAGGGAATTATTTAATCAATAAATTAAATCTCTCCTAGATTACGATTGCATAATATGTTCAAGTAGAGATTGTATTTCATAGCTTTCATAAAATGGAGACGGCTCTCTTCAAAGTAATGACCTTGATTTTAACATGAATCCTTTTTCTTCTCTTCCAATCTGAATAAGGCTCTTAGAACAGTCTTTTGCTCCTTGTGAGAGAAGCCACGGGCATCTTCTGTGCATTTTCTCCCTCTAAATTCATTTTAATAAATTTATTTTTGTCACTTCACTTGAAGGATGCCTCAGAGTTCTGTCTTTCACCTTCACTGAATGAATTCTTCCTTCTGTCACACAGACTAATTTTGGCCTTTGAGCATTTCTCTTTTAAGCACGTTCAAAATAGACTTTTGGCTGGAATCCTGAGCCCTCCTACTGCCATGCTAGTGTTTAGATACAAAGCAAGGGAAATGGAGTTATCCATACTTGGCTGTTTTTCTTGAAGAATACCAGATGGAAGTGATTCATAGTTTACAGGTATGTTGGAATTTTTTTTCCAGACTACTGGAAAACAGCTTGCAGTGTAGTTGGAGTATGGAAATAGGAAAAGGGGTAAAAAAAAAAAAAAAAAAAAAAAAGAGAGAAGGCAAAAAGAGAACTGAACCCCTTACTAGACCCAGCAGTTAGAAGAAGGTAGAATGTGAGTTTCTAGCATGGCTATTAATCAAAACTACCATCACATAGGTAACTGGTTAATTTACTTTCTTGGGGGGAGGGGTTAGCTGGAAATAATTTTTTCTCCTTTTTTACTGCTCTCATCCACTCGCTGCAGAAGGAAAATATGAAGAGAACTTGTGCTATTTTTTTTTCTTCCTCAGGAAGATGAGGTTTTTTTGATCCTTCTAGATCTAAAATAGTAACGCATATGGCTGAGTGGATTTTTATCTAGTCTGCTGAGTGGATTTTTTATCTAGTCTGCTTTGCTTCCTTTCTTGTCAGGGCAGGTAGAGTTTTTTTCGTCTGTCACTGAGTAACTCTAGCGTGTTCTTATTGAGAGCTTTTACTGTTCGTGAAAACATGATGTTGGTGTGGTACTTTACCATCTCGTGCTATTTAGAGTGGGGTCTTGAGCTATAATGCTGACTAGTCCTGGAATCTCTCTCCAATGCAGCTAGCAAAGAAGCAAGGGTGTTTACCAAAGAATTTTTTTTTTCCTCCATTTAATCCACACTTCTGAAAATTGTCTTTGGTCGTAACAGTTTAAAATTTCATCACTCTTCTTAAATTACAGGTCGGTCTTCCTGCCTTTCTACAAAAAACTTTCCTGTTATCAACAAGCTGACTTTAAAGACCTGTTAAATAACTTGCCTGCCTCTTCTGGGCATAAACAGTTAGCTTTACCTATTTTCACTTTTCTAATTGAGGGGCTAGAAAGGTTGGGTCATCGCATATGCTCGACAACTCAACTGTTGTCATTTTCCATTTGCTAATACAAAAAATATTGCCTATTGTCTGAGCACAATATTTTTTCTTGTTTTTTGTTTTTGCTTTTTTTTTTCTTAATGAAAGCTGGCAGAAATGTTCACGCATGTTTCTCTGTCTGGGATGACTTGGTCTAGGATGTTGAGTGAATAGCTCTTTGAAAGTCTTTCTTATTAGTACTTCTCTAGCTGTTCTTCTTATGTGAATGGGAAGCAGTTTTGCCTCTTACCTGCCGTGGGTTTTCCTATCTGGGGCTTGCCGTTGGAATGAATGGTACTGAGAAAAGAAGCCCTACTCCTTTGAGTTGCAAACTAAAATGAATGTAGGTCAGAGAGAAAATAATTGACCGGGTGAACTTGTTGGCATGTGAGATTATTTAAAAGGCAAAAACTGTTATTAAGTTATTAGTACCACTTACAGTAAGTATATTTTTGACATTTTTTATATATATCATCTTTTGGTAATTAGGATGCTAACCTGAATATCAACTTTGAGCCGTGGGAGGAAATCTCCATGATCTTCAATCCAGAACTTGTTACTCCTTCCATTTCAGTCTTCTCGTACGCAAATGTGCTCTTTAAACTGTTTAATTTATCCGTAATTGGAGTTATTCAATCTTTTGTACTTGTTGAACTTCCTAGAATTTCTTCAACATAACCTTTCCTTCTGCTCTTACTTAAAACAATCTTTTCCTACCCCTGAATTTCCTTTTGTCCTCGTTTTCCTTCTCTTTCAGTGAAGGTAAAAGAAAAAAAAAACTATTTTCCTACTTGATAATGTCTTCTGTAAAAGCGCATGCCTGGGAAATTACATTGAATTTTGTTTAGCATGAGTGCATGGACCTCAGAAACAAATGCAGGACTAATCTGAATTGAAATAAGAGTGTTATTTCTGGGTAAAAAATAATGCTCTTTTGGCATTGTTTGAGAGATACTGGCGGTTTGCTTTTTAATTTGGATGTTCGAAAGTATGTAAGCTCTGGCTTTCAGGAGCAGCTTCAGGAATAGCTACAAAAATCTACCACCAAAATCAGTCTTTATCATTCTAAAAGAACTACTTGACTGGGGAATTTTCATTTGATCATACTTTGAGAAGATAGATAAGTACAATAACATTTTCCTTTAAATGTCATAAATCTGCCATTAGCATCCACTGTCTCTGAAACCTGTTAGGTTTGCTCCATACAAACATGGCTTTGTTGGTCAAAAAGGAAAAAATCCAGCCCTCGGACTTGAAATACCACTTTTAAATGATTATACTTTCAGTTCAGAGTGTTAACTCCATTCTGTCACTCTAATGTCATTTATATCAGTTTGTCACTTGATTAGTTGCATCTTATATAAACATTTTATTATTTTGTTAGGTCATGCCTGGAGAAAATACTGCCACAGTGCGTTCTTCAGTCAAGAACTTTGTCTGGAGCTGATGCCATCAATGCTCTCAGACCTTTCTATTTTGCTGTGCATCCAGATTTCTTTGGCCAGCATCCCAAAGAGAGGGTAAAAATGTTTCAATGGTGCTTTTTTGTAAATGTGGCATAAATCAAAGATGGAAGGGTTTTAGTTGTTTTTTATTAGTGTTATAGGAACATGAACTAACTTTAGAGTTGAACGTTGTTATTACCAACGAACAAAAAGATTTTTTTTAGTTTATTTGTAAAAAGGGTATATCCCTCAAACATCAATTATTTATTAATCATATTTTCTGTGTAATTTGTATAAAGAAAATCCTGAGTCCCTCTAGTCTAATTATAATGCATATTATTTTCTTTACCACTTTGAAATGCGCATTATATTTGAAAACATTGGGTTTTTTTAAGCTTGAATGCCTTGAAAATGGTGTTTTTGGAATCTGTTATAGGAATGTACCAGTATGTAGATCATTGCAATTTATTTGAGCAAGGTGATTATTCAGTTGTATTGGGAACATGAGCTATATGATTGTTCATTAAGAGTAGTTGGAAGTTTGTAAAATCTAAGCCTGCATGTTAGATTTAAAAGGTTAGGATTAAAATTCTGGCCAAATTCATCATTTTAATGTTAATTTTTCTTTTTTCAAATAGGAGGTAAATGAAAATTCTCTGAAGAGGTTAAATGGCTACTTGGAGAATCTGCAGAAACCAGGATTTCGCTCTTTTAAGCCAACTCAACTTACTTTTTATGTAAGAGAAAGTGAACCAAACTCTTCTAACGTTCAAGAATCCTTCAGTGCTTCAGGTGCTTTTATGTTGTGTAGAATGTATCTTCCCATGTTAAAATTCTTTTTAAAAAAGGCCATTCCTTAAGTCTTGCACAGTCATATTGACTTTTCAGTTGAATCAAGTCTTCTCAAACCATGAAAATAGGCATTAGATCAGGCAGCTAAGACCATCCCAAATAACTAGACATCTTAAAATTTAAAATACTGCAAAAATGAGAATCCATGCAAACATTGAGGTCAAGTTACAGTATGGCGAAGTAAAAAACATAGGCTGAAGTAAATGATAATTTTACTGCTTTTAGTATCCTTGTGTTTAACTGGAACAAAAGTTGCGTCCTTTTTCCTCAATGCAGACAATGTGTAATAATGCAATATCAGTGTGCTATAGGATCAGTATGAATTTATTCATACAATTTCTGCTTCAGAAAGCAGAAATTGTGTAATACATGAAACTTTAGTTTACCATGTGCTCTTTTAGCGTTGAGACTATAGAAAATATTGCTGAGTTTGGAATACTTTTTTGTATTAATTTTATTTTACAGGTTTGTATCTAAATGAACTGACTGGCTTTACCCATCACATGCATTTTTCATTATGTTCTGTATACTGCTGGTCAAAAACCTTGAGCAAATTTTGAGGGATCCTACTGCTAGAACACAAAATTCTAAGTATTTTCTTCAAAAACAGCATGATATATCCACTTTAAATTAAAATAAGACTTGAATTGGCAGCTGTGTTCTGCTTTTGACTGTAAAACTGACTCGCTTTATTATGGAGCGTTTAGTCCAGTCACTTAACTACGGGGCTTTAGTTTTAGCCAGTGTCTAAGTGTAACATTTTTGAAGCTCCTGTTCAGAGTTAGTTAAGAACTGTTATAATACTGCATTTCTATAGTGAATTGTATCCAAATTGATGTTTAGTAATAATAGGAATTGTGTGTAGAGCTGTTGAACAAAACTGTCACTGCTAAATCAAAGGCATCTTTTTTGCTTTTGCTTTAACTGTGGCTAAGCTTCCAACTTGCCCGATGATTTGGATAGTTGAAATAGCTCTGTTTAAAATTGTATAGTCCAAAAATATAAAGGTTAAACTGTGCTTTGAATTTTGCAGTGAATATTGAAATAAAAGTATCATCCTAATTTCCACATACGTACCTATGCACACCTTTATGAGCTCTTTTGAGATGAGAGAAGCGTGAATGCATTTAAAAATATTTTTAATTAAACAATGCTAATTTTGTGGGACTTGTATTTTATAGGGTTTCGAGCAGTCAGTTTTACATTACGTACCAGGGACCTACTGAGCACAGTATTAGATATTCTCAACTCCTGCAGTTTATCTACGGAGCATGTTCAGAGTTTGAACGTGAACTCTCAGCCCCGCAAGGAAGCAAAAATCACGCTGAATAGACCTATCAAATGGGATAAGACTTATTATTCGTTTACTGGATTCAAAGATCCTGAGGAAGAACTAGAACAAGCCCAGAGAGTGGAAACAACTTTAATGTATGTAAAGGTTTTATTTAGTTGATATTTTGAAGAACAAATTGGTCTTATTTACTATTGTTGGGGTTTTTTGTTTTTGTTTTCTTTTTCTTTTTTGGGAGGCAATCATTAGTCTTTCTAAACCGTACAGAATATTATCCTCCACTACGTAATTTCATCAAGTTTCTACCAGCATAATTAAAGAGAGTTCAGATGAGCTTCTGGGATAACTACAGTGCCAGCTATGCCAAGGCATTACTGTCTCTGCGCAGCCTTCATGTTGGGTTAATCTAGTTTTTCAGTTTTGTGGAATATTACTGACAGTTCAGAAGGAGGCAAGACATTTCACTTGCTATAAATAGCTTCTCGCATCTTACAGGGCTTCAATAACACAACGTTATAAGCCTATAGTCTTTATCATTAGTATTTCATTATCACAGTCTACAAAAAAAAAAAAAGATAATGCACCAACCTTAATACTGAAATCTAGGCAATTATTTATAATAAACTTGTATTTAGTGCAGCATGTTATGATTTAGAAGTTAGTTGTTTATAAACTGTTTGTATCTGCCAACTTGGGGACGAGGTGGGAAATACTAACCTCAAACCCTTTTTTATAACCATGGGAATTATGTGCCATTTAGATTAAATTGCAGAATTGAAGTGATACCATCTTCGGAGCAAAGGATACCCATTATCCTACCTTAACATCTCACAAATAAAACCACTGTATTATATATTTAACCACTGTAAAACATAGTTAACCTGTTAGATCATTTACAGAATACATGTATTAAAGAGTCTGGTTTTAATACCTGACTGCTTGGCTTTGGGCTTCTCTTCTTGTTTTTGAGTTTGAATTTCTTTCCTTTATTTTGAAGTGCGGTGTGGGAATTACAGTATTTCTTTTTATAAAAATAAGAGCAAGATTTAGCTTCCAAGGTCATGCTATGAGCAAGTGCTAAATGTCTTAGAGTAGTATTCTAGAAACAGAACCATCCACTCATTGAAAGTCCCAGATGTGCTCCATGAGTCATGCTTCCCTGATTGTGATTACAGACAAAAGAACTGTAAAACTTTGATCCATGTACCTATGTTCATCCCAGCGCTGTAAGAGCTACCTAACTTGACCCTTTAGTGTTTCCCTTATTGGAGAGTCCATTATGATCATCTTGATTTTTGTTTGTTTGTTTTTTTTAAGACAGAAGTATGGTTCTTCAGTTTTCATTAAAGCACTATGCTCTGACTGAAGCTGCTCCCCTAAATCACACTGATCTGCTGCTCTACACCTTTCACACCTCTCAGAAAAGTCTTACGATTTTAACAGTCAAAGTATTTCTGTTCAACTTGACTACTTGGTTCCCATCAGATATTAAGCACCAGGTTTTCATTTATAGATATCTCGGGGGAAGCATTTTAGCAGTTTCAATTGCTGTTCTCTGCTTTTAAAACTTACCTTTACCTGATAACTTGAAATAAAACATTAATGTGAATTCAGTTAGTTGTACTGTTTGCATGACAAATAATATGGCATGCCTTACTTTGTTTTTCCCTTTCTAAGATCCTGGTTAGATGATAATGAAGCAAGTGCAGTAAAAAAGTTGAAGAAGAGTTTACCGCTTAGAAAAGAACTAGAACGCTTAAAATTTGAACTCTCTCATCAGCTTCAGCTCTCTGATATCAGGTAATAAGTTAAATCAGATGAACTTGCATTAAAAATTTGTCAAAGCAAGGAAGTGTTATGTAATGTAGTGCCGTTGGGTTTGAAAGCTTATTCCAGCAAAGCAGCTATATTTCATATATATTAAAATGCTGTCGCACTGAATAAGATTTTTGCAGAAGTCTATGGGGACAAAAGTTTCCAGTTACAATTTGCTCAAAAAGACCTAGCATTTGTAAGGCGAGAGATTGTTTTAACTAATAATGTAAGTGCCAATTGAGGCAAACACATAAGCAAATGGGACCTGTGCGTTTGCTTTAATTTGGGTGTTTGCTGGATGAAGTTACTTTTCCCAAGTTCGAATGCGTGTCTACGAAGATAACTAGATTAGCTCTGAAATGCAGCTTTGCACATGGTATTTTCTGACATCCTGTGAAGTCTTAATAAAAATGCTCTTCTGTCAAGTATTTTGTTTCCCATGTCCTAGAGGAGGAGGAGATTTGTCTGCTTTAAAGGGCAGAGTACAGTTTGTGTTCTCGTTTCTTCAGAATATTTTTCAGAAAATACCTCACAATCCTCATTTGAAGGGACAAAGTTAAAGAAAGAATGTTCCAAAGTCTGTTCAGCAATGGGAGAACAACCTTTAGGGGACTATATCAAAGGCTAGTCTAAGTTCTCCTTTTAACCAGGAAAAAAAGATTCTCCAGAGAGAACTGGAGCTTCTGAAATCATGCTTCTTTTTCTTTCGCTGTATGGAGGACCTTGGCTTCCTCAGGCTGAAGCCAGTCTTTCTGAGCACAACTTGTAATCTTCTGCAACTGGGCTGTGGTGGGGATTTTTGTTTTGGGTTTTTTTTTTTTTAAGGTTTCTGGAACAATCTTCAGTATTAAATGTATAGGTTTGGTTTTATTCATGGCTTATATTTAATTTTCTTACAGTTTGTGCTTTTAAAACGCTCTGAAACTATTACAGTCTGTGAAGAGCTAAATATTAACCTTCCGTAATTTAGAAAAGAATGCAAGCTGTCAGGAATCTGACAAGGAACTATCTTAATAGGAAACCGCGGCTTGTGATCATGCAGCCTAATGCTAGTTTTTGCAGAGGTTTGAAAAATAGAGTGGGATCATTAGCTTCATTCTATGTGTAAGTTTAGGACAGCTAAAGAGAGGATAGAATCTGAAAACCACGTTTTTACGTTCCAGTCTGGTGCTAGTGAAGGCAAAAGTGGTATTGCTAAGTAATAAATAATTATTAAAATGACTTACATTGTAATAGATTGAGTTGCCTCATGAGTGCCATGTACAGTGCCGTGCTCTGTGTCCCAAAGAGTGACTTTTTGCCAGTTACAGATTTCCCTAAGCAAGGGGAATGATCATTTCGTACACTGAGGCAGTTTTAAATCGGCCTGAGGTTTGGCTAAAGACCAAGAATATAATATTTCAATATATTGGGACAACTTTACAATTTAAATACTTTTTGAAATGTAATTGTTAGTTCATCTATTCTGTCTGTCATGAAAAAATATATATTGTTTTGATATTTCTAAGTCACCATTATAATGTAACTCTTGGGTCCTGCGTGATTTAACAGAGTTACTATTACAGAAACAAAAATGTTTCCACTGTTAAATACTACTTTAAAAAAAAAATTACAATCAGAATCCCATTAATGTCTTGGGGTAGGAAAAAAAAGACAATTTCCTTGTATACAGTATTTGCTCCTCTAGGCAAACATTACACAGTGTGCAAACAGAAGCTACATGTCACATGACTGAAGCAAATGTTGGGTAGCATGTTGCTATTTACTTACTCTCCCCCTTCTTAGTAGGGAGATTTGCTTTTCAAGTTCTCTTCCATCTACTAACTCTTGTATTTATTTTTCCTAGATGCATTTACTTTTATCTATCTTCACTCCATATTGTTCTTGGCACCCGCTTTGAGAGATTCTAAAGTTTTCTTTTAGGCTTTTATCTCTTCAAATAGCATATGACATGGACAGCTTTTCAGTAGGGTTTTTGTTTTTACTGCTATGCAAGAAGTGTTATTTTATGAGTTATTGTCTGTGTTTTAAGGCTCTCAGCTATATCAGCTTCTGCAATTGTGTGTGTGTGTATATATTTTATATATATATGTATAAATATATATATAAAATATATGTATATATAGTGTTGAAAATGAAGTATTCTGAATTGTGTTTTTATTTAGGTGGCAGAGAAGCTGGGGTATCGCTCATCGCTGTAGCCAACTACACAGTCTAGGTCGCTTAGTCAGACAAAGACCTGAAGTATTAAAGAATGTTAAAGGTATATTTGTGACTTGTTTCTTATATCCTAGTATAGTATTAATTCAAAGATGGGTGTGAGTTTTCAGTGACCAGGGTGCTGTAGTGCTTTTCAAGAGTGCTCTTGATAACAATAAAAAAAAATGCTGAGCTTACTGAAATGCTAGTGAGAACTCACATTTTCAACTACAGCGTATTTTTTTAAGTGACTTTTCCTGACGGCGTGCTCACTACACTCAACTTCTACTTTATTTCTTATTAACTGCAAGCCTAACAACGAGAGCAAAAAATTCAGGCTCTTCGTCTCAAAGGGAAGGGTGAGAGGTAGCAATAGATTTTTTTGCCCATGGTAGAGCCAGCACAAAAATGCTGATAGTTCTCCAAAGAGCCAGTAATCTGTAAGGAGGACTTACTAAAATCTCTTTAAAATGGTATTGTTATCAACTGTTATCATGCATTTTCTATAAAATACCTATACTGAAGTCTGTATCTTCTCAGGAAAAACTAAAATACTCTGTAAACCTGATTCTTTTTCCCTTGCGGCTCTTTGACCTGTGGCAATAGCTCTTCGCTTTAATTGTAACTCCACATTTATGCCTCTCTTCAGATACTTCATTTTGAGTGGCTGTCATTTGAGCGTTCACTTAATCCTTTGTCAAAAGGCAGAGAGGTTAGGAAAATAAGCAGTAGATTTAAATTGTATCAGGTTTCATACTAGTTTTTTTATTTACGTGTGCTAAGGATATAAAGTGCTAGAGAAGTATCTCCATCTTTGAAGATCTTCAATTATATATTGGACAAACTCCTGTCAGGAATTATACAGGTACAGTTAATCTTGCACTGAGGTAAGAGATCGGACTGGAAGCTTTAAAATCAGTGGTGTTCTGTTGTAAGGATTTTGGAAAACTGATTTCTGAGAGCAGGGTAAAATGTTGGTATGTTGATGCAGAGGGATGTGTTCAACCCTGACTGGCCAGAAGGCTTGGCTTCTCTCCTAGGTACATTTTGAACATATCGGGTGCCTTCACCTTCTAGACTCTTGAAGAGAAGTAACTGGTCTTGTAGTTGGAAGGCATTATATTCCATTTCATTTCTTTTTTTTATTGCTGTCTTAGAGCTTCCTAATTAGTGATTTCTATCTCAGCTAAGCAATTCTTGCAAAGCTTAACTTCAAAGGTGGAATGGTATTCCATTCTTGCAGTGGTCCAGTAGTATTCTTTACAAAGGCAACGCCTGTCCTTTTATATTGAGATTTTAGTTACTGGGGAGCTACTGGTAGCGTTGCTTTAACTTATGTTTTGTTCAGCATGCAGCATTTATTTAGTAGTTCAAACGGTTATGACTATGCAGCGCTCACGCTGCATAATTTAGCCAATTGTCATCTATCCGTTTTATGGGAACGAAGTTAAGGATTCATACTTTTTTTTTTTTCCTTTAACTCTTTGGTAGTTTTGGTCATTGTTACATTCCAGTCATCCATTTAAGCCTTGTTTTGTAGATTAATGCTTCACACTGAAGACTTTTTGGAAGCTTATTTTGGTGAGCGGTTATCTGTGCTTTTACCCAAAACAATTTTGAAAAAGTCTTGAATCTTTGTCCTGTGCTTTTAAAAAATTCTAAACTCAAAACTGATTTCACCCAAAAATAGACCTAGTAATAGCCTTTTATGTTATCTCTATTCTTTCTTAAACAAAATCTAATACGGAGGCATTTGTAATTTTATTGAGTTGTAGAGCTTTTTGGGAATAGTGTTGAATGGTTGTTATAGTTCTTTCACCAACTTTTACCATTTTGGTTCTTTGTACAGAATTACGAAAAAGTCTATAGCATCTGTTTCTTAGGATATATGTCTTCTACAGATTCTTTAAAGAAGCTCTCTGCTAAGGTTTGCTCTTACTTTAAAATCAGCCTTTGTAAGGAAAAAAAATACAAATTTAAACAGGGAGAAGACAAACGCTAATTAAGGTTTGTATGGAAAAATCATTGAACTGGAGTTTTCAAGAATCACTTCTTCGAATTTTGAGAATAATGAAAGCACCCACTCATTTTTATTTGCGCTGAAAAAATGTTTTTCTTGTGACGTATTAGTAGCATGGTTAAGTCTTAAATAAGTATGGGAATAATTGCAATAACCAAAATTACTAAAGAGCTTTATCCAATCATTAGGACGCACATTGATATTTACAGACCGTTCAGGTGTGAGTGCTGCAGGCCACATAATGCTGGGGACCATGGATGTTCACCATCACTGGACCAAAGTAAGATTTCAAAGTGAATAATTCTCAAGTCTCTTGTTAAGTTTTGACATCCTTTTTTAAAAATGTTATTGTGCCAAAAGCTGCTCTGTTTCCACTATTCTGTCAAATTTCTCAATAGATTATTCTGAAATCATTTGACTTGTTCAAGCAAGAATATTTTTGTATGCGTAACTGCATTCCAGTAATAACTGGGTAGACGATAAGGAGTGACTGCTAATACAGACCGTCCCTGTTCACTTGTTGCCCTGTTCCAGCCTTCTCCTTGCTACCTACCTTCTGTGTCTTTACCTTCTTAATCTTTCCTGGCATAGGTTTGTAAACTAGAGATCGGATATCTTCTTCCTGTGTCCTCTCCCTTCAGACTGGAGACAAAACTAGTTACCGACCAAGTCTGTGGAAATAACTAGTTTCAGCAACAGAGACTCTTTGCGTTTTTGAGAGTTGGTATAAATTAGGCTGGCAGAATAACTTTCATTGACTGTATGTGGTATACTTCGACCACTGTAACTGCAGTAGTAAACGTTTTATGTAGACGTCAGCTTAGAAACTCTTTGGATCTGAGACTATTAATTTCTGTATATACAGAGATAAAGGAAATCTGTCAGTCTCATTACGGCCTTTCAGTTCCTTTGTAGTACAGAGTTTGAAAATGCTTATACGCTTATTCCATTGTATCTTGCCCGAAGAATTCCCATTTGGGGGAATTCTTTAGAACTTTCTTCCCCTTGGGTTCCCTGTTTGCACTGCTAAGCGTCTCTTATAGTTTCTAGTGAATTTTTTCATTCCTTAATTTTAAGTTATATGCTGTGTAACATAGGAAGTGTTTTTGTGTATGTGTGTGTGCACAGATTTTTGAGAGGTTGCCAAATTATTATAAACTTCAAAAAAGGATGCTGTTCTTGGAGGATCGGATAAGCCAACTTCTGGGAGGCATACAAGTAACATATATTGAAGAGCTGCAACCCCTCTTGACATTGGAAGAGTACTATGACACTCTGGACTCCTTCTATAATAAGTTACTTGACAGTAGACTACCTTTTCATCCTCGCAGTCTGCGAGGCTTGCAGATGATTCTAGAAAGGTGAGTATTTGCGAGACAAGTTTTTTCAGGCTCTTTTTTTTGTTGTTGTTACGTTAATTACTGCTTTCACTAATAAGAAAACTAATGCTACCACAAACTTTTGTGTTTTCAGGAATTCTTTTTGTTTCTAAAGTTTTTAAGTGACTGTTCATGGGTTTGGAAGGAGTCAGACTGAAGGAAGTCATGCATATTTCAGTGAAGTTAGAGTCAAAATTCTGTCTTTATCTTATAGTGCTGGGCTGGGCTGAATCAAAGATTTTGTGCTGTCAGGTCAACAGTCAGTTGTGGCAATGGGGTATATCTGTTTTGAGTAATGTTGGCAGAGTTGCTTCTGAAACTTTAAGAACGCCTTAAAGTATGTACAACACTTCCGTTTTCTCATGAACCAAATTTGATCTTTTTATCAATTACTCTGATTATGATTAATTGATAATCCTACCTCTATCTTCAGATTTCGTTCTGAAAGTAATTCATGTGAATATTTTAGAGCAAAAATGATACTTTGGTTTTAACTTCCACCATGCTTTGTTACAGCGATAGATATGCACCAAGCTTGCATGAATTAGGACACTTTAACATCCCAACAGCTTGTGATCCAGCAACTCTTCAATGGTTTATTATTGCCAAAGCACAAGAAGCAAGACAGAATCTGAAAAGAAAGGAAGAGTAAGTGGTCATGTAACTCAATACGTTTAGGTCATGAAAATCTTTTTGTTTACCTATCAGCTTTACTGAGTTAAAATTTTTAAGTGTTGAGTGAACGTGAACGGTTGCTAAACAGGACCCATCCTTCAGCTTGCAGAAATAGTTGTACTTTATTCAGAAATAAAATATATCTGCTTATAAAACTTGTTTTACAGTTAGTGTGCAAAAAGAGAGGGTTTTTTTAAGGAGGAGACCTTTTTATTGAGAAAGAAAAGAACTGACTTCGACTAATGTTACTTACGTTGAGGCAAGAAAACAATAAAATTGATACTAAAAACAATTGAGGCCAACCAATAATTGTTATTAGTTGTTAGATGACAGATGAGAAAAGGATTAGTTAGCACCTAACAAGGGGAAGAAAACAAACTTAGGGTAGAATGAGGAGGGAAATACCTCCGTGTACTCTGCTACTATAATAGATGGTAGCAAGAGGAGAGAGAGATGACTGTAATATGTCATAGTATCAGCATGTAACGTTAAGTCCATGACTTTTAGTATCCAGCGGAATTGTAAATTTTTGTTCTCAAGCTTGTACTTTGTGTGTGCATTTGAGGCTCAAGAGCATGAAGTAGAGATACTGATTATTTTAAAGAAAACGTTGCCATGGGTAATCGGATGTTACTATCCTTTAGAGGTTGTTAGTGAAAGCTTATTTTGCTGTGTTAGGCAAGTGAATTCTAATGAATTGTTGAAACATCATTTTGTCACGAGCATACGTATCATGTACAGACCTTAATGGTTTTGTGAGGGTTATTGTGGGCATGAAGCTTACTGAAGACTTTATGGTTTTAGATCTGGTTCCTTGGGGAGCTTGATCTGGGAGATGGATTTTGAGAGAACATGGAGGATTGCTGGGGTTTTCCCCTGACCTGTATGGGTTTGAACTCGTACTCAGCTTTGAAGATACGTTGTTATTCCAATATAGGTTATAATTGTTGAATAGCTTTCTATAGGATACCTTTCTTTTGGAATGTGACAGCTAGAAAAGTATTGTCTGTGTAGGGGTTTGGGGGGATGTTACAGCAAATGTGGGGGGATGTTACAGCAAATGTATGCCTTTTTTTTTCTGGGTAACCTGCTTCTTTTCACCTTTCCCCCCGCCCCCCAAAAAATTACCTATCAAAGACACTCGTCCCAGGAGAAAGTTGTCTTCCAATTAACAGTGGGAGAGTTTTGATGCTCTCCTTATACTCTTAAGTAGCTGTGTTGTAAGAAAGTAAGAGTAAGCTAAATATTTTAGTTTCGTTGTGTGTTGGTTGCTTGCTGCTTTGTATGAAATACTTAAGAATAGGTATACTGTGTCAGACCAAAGGCCTGTCTAAACCCTATTTGTTATTAGCTTAGGGAAAGGTTATATAAATGGGGCAAAAATACAGTGTGTGTGTGTGTGGTTGCTTGTTTGTTTCTGTTTTGTTAATTCTGTACTACTTCCCAGTTTCTAGCAGTCTGTACTTGAGAAAATACTTGAAGTCAGATATGTCATCTCATGTTAGGAGCATTCAGTAGATCTTTTTTTTTCTTAATTGTATAATTACATTGTGAGCCAGTTTACATTTTGTGACTCTAATTTGCTGCCACACGCTACTTTATACAGTTTAATTAGTGTAGCCTGTGTATACGAAGGAGGAGAGAGGTGTTCTTTTTTTTAAAGACCCATGGCCTGATAACACTGTCTTGTTCTTGTGCTGTTGGAAATACGAGTCATTCTGTATTTATCACCTCTGCTTTTTTTTATTTCATAGATATGTCATATTCCCCCTTATCTGTCTTTTTATTGAAATTGAAAATTCCTTTCTGTTTAATGTTTGCCTGAACAGAACCCGTTTAGTACTTCTGATGTGTTGTTCTTATCCTCCTGTGTACCCGTGTAATTCTTATGTACTCACTTTCAGTTACAAGTAACCAGTGCAGCTCACAGCAGTGTTTGTTAAAGTAGAGGAAAATATTTTGAGACATGGGATTTACTTTGCATATGCAGATGAATCTCTTACATGCAGTACATAGCATAGCTGGAATTCTGTATGACCTGCTGCAGTGAGGAGTGCAAATATTACTGTTAAAGAGAGAATTGTGTTATCTGTGTGGAAAATGTCAGTGTCTTAATAATACAAGATTTAGCTTGAATCTACTTCCCTTTTGTGTTGTGGTAGAGGTGTAGCTTCCTTGTGGAAGAAGTGACTAAAATGTGCAGTTCTCACTATGTACAGCTAACTTCCCATCCTTCAAGGGAATGGCAACTTGAGGTTCATGTAACAGGCAAAGTTGGATCAAAGATATTAGAGAACGTACTCAGAGTGGCGCGGATACATTTGGTGCAGAGAGCAGACTTTCTCCAGGTTAGCTTGTTAGCTCCAGTTCAGCCCTGACCGTGCCAGACACTGGGCTGAGTTCTTGTAAAGCAATCTGAGTGCCTCCATGCAGTGCTGTGCTGTGCAAATGCACTGACGTCTCGTACTGAGCTCTGGAAAGGGTGGTGTTGAGCCCATTCCGTAGTGAGTTTACATGAGTCATCCTGAAGTGAAACAGTCTCAGTAGCTGTGTCCATGCTCAGCTTCGGCTGATTCATATCCCACTGGCTCTACAAATCTGCTTCTTGTTTCCAGGCGCTCACACAGTAGCGCTTACGGGACGTAAGCATCTCTTGTGTGTTTGTGTGGTAGTGTCCAGCTTCATTTCTTCTGGAATCTGGAGGGTTACCAAATGGGTGCAGAGCTGTCTCAGCTCCAGTACAGCTGATGCTTATCCACCTAGCTGTATCCAGGCTGACCCCATGCGCAACTGCTGCGCTGCGCTCTAAGCACACTGCATCTCCGGGTGCTGAGCATACCCACGCTGGTTCTGCACACTCAGGTTGAAGGTGGGGAGGCCTGTTGGCTCAGATTCCATGTGGTAGAGCAGTGACCGTGCTGTTTCTACAACCAAGCTGGCTGCAGAAGAAATACAGCTCTAATGTGGCACAGTGCCTGAGCTAGTAAGTCTTGCTCAACCTGAACTGTCTCTGCATCAGATGGTCCATAGTTCTAGTGACTCTTAATTAACTCTCTATTTCTGAGGAGCCTGAATTTGCCATGTGGTTTATCTTTTTACTACTTTTTGTCTGGGCTGAATGGAAAAAAAATCATCTGTAAGTTATAATTACAATATTCTCTCTACTTCCTGCAGTTGATAAGCTATTAGTATTCTTAATATACACCAGCTGACTGTAACAGACATCCATTGTTTTAGATTACATGTGGGTTCTTAGCTGAGAAGATAGAGGAGTCATTACTCAGCTGACTGGTTTTATTCTTCGAAGGTTAAAAAAAATTCCATCCTTCCTCTTAAAAATGAAACCTCAGAGGATTTTTATTTTGGTATATTACTATTACCTGATCACTCAAATTTGGTCACGCATGTTTTCAAACATGACTCTTTGTAGGCATGCTATTGCATGTAGTCCTGAAAGCATGTCCAGGCTAACCTCTGAAGCATACACAGGTACTGACTTGCACAGAAATTTCAACTGTGCCATAACTATACATGAAGTGATACCTTTTTATTTATATGCATATAATCTATAAATATACTTATTTCAATATTTTTTTTTTTTGAAGAGAGCACGTCCTAATTTTGTCACTGTATGTCATCTTCATTTACTAGGATGATGATTACAGAAAAGGAGCTAATCAGTACTTCCACTGAAAAATTTTCTTTGGATCGACTGTATAAGGAACCCAGTGTTTCCAGTGCACAGATGATAGATTGTTGTAAGCGACTACTGGAAGAATCGTTACCGTACCTACAAGGCATGCACCTTTGCATTTCGCATTTCTACTCTGTGCTGCAGGATGGAGACCTCTGTATACCTTGGAACTGGAAAAGCTGAGAACATATCTGATAATCAGATGAATTGTTTATTTTCTGTAAGAGGCTATAAATATGAATGTTTTTTAAGAGTAAATTATTAAAATGTGTATTTTGATATCAGTATTCAACCCAAACATTTACTTTTAACTGCTGCTCAAAAAGGTTCGGAGTCCTAGCATTCCCAGTTCTAGGAAAGACATCTTTACATTTTCCATACGCCTGTACTAGTCCAAGCGTAGGGTAGCAGTTGTGGAATTGCATTTTTGTAGTGAATTATGAAAAGCTATTAAACTGCAAGGCTGCAAAAATGTACGTGTGGATTTTTAATATATATAAGTATTGTCAGATAGATTTTTCTTAAATATAGGGAAGAGTGTTCCGCTCAACCCAGACACTACATATCTTAAGGGATTAATTGAATGCAGAAGCTGAGTACGTAATACTGCTGGTGGCAATATTGGCATTTCATATTGCTACCTCTTACTGGAAAAAAAAGAAAACCTTCATCAGAATATTTTTACTTGGCAGAAAAAAGCAGTACCTTGAACTTGGTTTCAGCAGTTTCATATACTGATCCGACGTTGTTGCCTTAGAATTTCCAAATATGCCAGTTGTGCTGTCTGCAGTTACTTTAGAGGAAGTATCAGTCTATTTTTGTTTTTCGTCACTTACTCCATAAATACAGACCATCCTTTTCATGTACACTACTAATAGATTGCAAATCCCATTCGCAGCCCTTACCGCCTGAGTGGTTTAGTATGGCATCTAAGGAAAGGAAGCGTTGATTTGTGTGGGATTGTTTGCAAACGCAAGTACTTCTCAATGAGACAGGCGTTCACAGTAAGGCTCTAGAGAGCAAGCACATGGACCTTTACTGGTACTCTGTCCCTTAAATAATATGAAATGGTGAAAATTTATGTTGCCATTTCTTCATTGTAATACATGCCAAAAGGGATGTTGTATTTGGGTTACTACTTTACAAAAAATCCTTTGAGAAATATCAGCTGCTTAACATTTCTGGACTTGAATTCACCTACGAAAACTGGCAAAAAAATAAAAAATAAAAATAAGGAGTTGCCTAATGTTTACATGCCTTGTATTTCCATTTATCTTGAGTAGGGAAGTTGCGGCTGTCTGATTCTTCATGTCAAAAGGCTGATTTTCAAGTTGTTTATTATGTTGCCAAATTTTAAAAAATCTCCACTGTGATCTCAAACACTTATGTCTATTTTTAAAATGTTGAGACTTCTAAAGACCAGCTGATGGCATTCTGGTTTGGTAGTTCTGAGTAAAATCTCAAAGTAGTCATCCTCTATTGAGCATTACTTCTCCTCACTCCATATAGCATTGGTGATACTGTCCATGTCCCCGTTGCACTGAACAACTGAGCCGTTCCAATTGTAGCCCAGCAATGTTCCCTGTAACAGCTCTTTGCAGAATGAGGTCTCTTCCAGAATAGGAGCTGAGCTGAGCAATTTCTCTTCCTTGAACTAAATGACTCCTTACTGGCATCCAGGTAAGAAGCTGCTATGCTGTTGAATGTAGAGAAGACAAAAATTAGACGAAGGAAGGTGAGTAGACTGGGCCGAGAGCCTGATATGACTGTGACTGGAATCCCACTAGGGAACAAGTGAAGACTGAGACTAATGTTACATACTGTGACTAGACATAAGGAAAGGCTAGGGTTTGTTGAGATCAGACCTTCTCTTTGAATACTAGAGGCAAAAACTAGGACTAGCTAGAGGGAGGAGCCTTAGCTGTGAAGAGTCCTTATGAAACAGCCTGGAGAGGCTGGGCACATAAAAAGGAGCACTGGGGACCCTGCCTGGAATAGTGGTGGGAGTAGGCAAGGACAAGCAAGCGCGACTGGGACAGGGCTTACACGTGGGAGTTGTGGAAATAATGGGTATAAGACATTTAAAGTCTGGAATGGACCTGAAGATACTTGCCATGCCCTAATCGGGAAGTAGCCAAAAAACTTGAGCAAGTTGTGTCACCCTCCCAAAACACTGACAGCCTGCTCTTCTGACAGTTACCACCTGGCTTAGGTCTTGGGTCTGTGCAATAAGTCAAAGAGCTCCAGCCTTGCTGCTGTCCTACCAGAGAGTATGTGAGCTAGGTGCTGTGTGGGGAATCTTTGCCTCTTTTTTTTTTTTTTTTTTGGGGGGGGGGGGGGGGGGGGGGGGGGGGGGGGGGGGGATTAAAATCTCTAAGACTGCTCAAAAGCTGAAAAGCTGAGCAGTATCAAAATTAAGGTGGTTTGTATAATATAGTTCAGTACTGTAAGGATGGATCTTAAAGGAGTTTTTATTTTTGTAATTCTCTCTAAGTTAGAACAGTTGGAACAGCTGACTTTATAAACACAGTCCTCCTAACACTTTTTTTTTTTTTAAATATATAGGAGAGGAATGGAAAAAAACAAATGCATACACTTAATGTGCACTTTATAGGTATTTATTTTGGTAAGTACTGTATGAACACTGTCCTGAAAGTAACAGAAATTTGTCCATTTAGGTGGCTGTATTATTTACAAATCTATTAGAACTATGTTTTACTTTCCAGAATTTTAATGAGGCAAAACAGAAAAGATTTTAGAATTGTGAAAGCCATGAAGGCCTACTCCTCCGTTTATCACCATGGTAAGGTGAAAATGGAAAACCATTGGAAACTTTATCTGCTTTTAAATGGGGCAGAACACCTCAAATTCTGCTCAACAGGCTGGATTATCACCTCTTTGTGGGAATAGCTTTAAACGGCTATTGACATGTACTGTACCCTTTTCAGTACAGAATTCCAGCTTGCTCTGTGGCCAACAACGCTGGGTATGAAGTTTCAAAAAGTATTTGCTTTAAAAACAAATGCCAGTATTAAATAAGATGGAGTTGATTTCTTGCTGTTTTTAATCATTAATATTTGGCTGAGATTTCAGTTTCCTCCTCCTGTTTAGAAACTTGCAATACAAATTTGAAAGACAAGTAAAAATCCTTACCAGCGATCGAAGACTGAAACGTGTGCTGGGCATCCATCATGAGTTACTGAGCCATGATACCCAGATCATGTCATTCAACCTTTGAGAATGGTTTAGTATTTTAGTGCAGTTGCCAGAAGGAAATAAAAAGATTCAATGTAAGAACAAGAGAGGGACCTAGAACAAAATTTATCGGCTTGAGCTGTCATTTTGGTGCTATGTAATACTGTGACTGTGATGATGCATGCATTGGCAAACAGCGCTTTCCATTTTGTCAGGTGTTTGCATAATGTTGTACAGTATCAGTTGCGTGTGAATTCTGATGTTAAGTGTTCTCACTTGTTGTTTAACATCGATAGGCAACTTTCATTCTTTGTGCTCTATGTGAAAATTGGGTGAAGTTTTGTGGAATAATGCCCGTCTTGTCACTGTTCTTTTGATTTTTTTTTTAACTGCTGTGATGCAGCCTCAGGGACTAATAGGTTTGTACTCATGTTCTGTAAGACATCCAAAATGTTGTTTACCAATCTTGAGAAAGATTTAGAAAGAGAAAACATTCCAGAAGATTGCAGCTTGTTCATTTAAAACGTGTCCAAAATTCTTTGGAACTTTTCTTGGAGAAAATAAGAGGTTTTGATCTAGTTTGTGTACGTCATAGCTAAAATAAACTTTTTGAAGAAAAGATGAAATTTTAGAGCTTATTAATTTAAACTTCCCATTCTGAAAGTACACCATTTGTCTGTGAACGGGTGATCTCTGTGATTCCTTGGGCATATGCATGTGTTGTGTGTGTGTGTAGTATATGTTCCCAAAGATGAGACTTTCCTAATGTTTTTCTTCATAAGCTTGTGTAATAAGTGTATCGATTTGTAACAGAACAGGCTAGTTAAAAAAAAAAAAAAAAAAAGGTGCAATGCAACTCAGCTGAGAAGGAGAAAGCATAGCTGTGAATACAGTAAAAATGTTAATTAAAAAAAATGGAGATACGGTCATGCATATAAATACTATTGCATATAAATTCTAGGAGAATTTGACTTTAAAATGTTGAGTTTAAAGGCTGGAGTCTCATGTTTGCGCGTGAAAAAAATGTTTAGATTTCTCCCTGGAAGGTCCTTTTAAAACTATACTAAATACTGAAGTAACAGAAAAATACTCTTGTTGTGCAGTTTATCCTTTACAGTTACATATTCTTTACATGATTACTTAAGTATTGAATAATTTAGTACTTCATTTTTGCTAAATCCTCTCAGGTGGGGTACTATATGTTTAAGCAGCCAGACATGGATTAGGATCTCAGCAATGTGTTTCAAACAGAAAAGCTTTGAAGATATTTTATTTAGTAGAGCTGAAATGTAATGTTTTCTTGCTTGCTTTTACATTCTGAAAGGGTCCTTGTAGCGATCATCTGTTTCCATAGCTTTTAGCTATTATGTGACTCCACACTTTAGCAAGTCTAAATTTTCTGAGTCTATGCTACACACAGATTTTTGTATGGCTTGCTCTTTCTCAAATGTTTACTGAAAGAGAACCAGTTTAAATTGACCTGGTCTATTGTAGACCGTGCTAACTACAGCCCTCCAAATGTGCTTTAAATTGAGATGCAAACCCCCTTGTAAACTACTTTTGCATTTTAACTGGAGAACTGAGTAAGCTCTTGGAACCATGTTAGTGGCCTCAGTTTGTGCCAAAAGTAATGGCTGCAAAAACAACATGAAATTATGTTTTGCATCAAGGTTAGATAAGAAGAGCAGAGTTCATTTCTTGTTAATTTAGTCCCAACATCCCAACCTAGCTGCTCAGGAGAACAAAGGGCAATTTGGTGTAGCTGAAGATCACAGTTGGTCAACTTTAATTTCTTTTTGATTATTTCTCTTTAATCATCTGCTTTGTCATTTGATTTTATATGTTGTAGAGGCATAGCTGAGCAGTCAGCTAATGCCTGTGGTAGCTGTGTGTACTCTCTGTCTGTAATAAGATATTCTGGGACCATTTACTAAAAGCAGCAATCGGATGAGAACCTGATGTCCTCCCTCAAGACTGCTCTGTGATCTGGCGGCTACAGTTCAAGATCAAGGCATTTTCTTGATAGTGCTTTGTCCAACCCACGCATAATTTTACCCATCAGTTTGTCGTTCTCCTGGGAACCTCTCATTCTGGATTGGGGTTTTGTTTTGGTTTGGTTTTGTTTTAATGTAATATTTCAAGTTCATTAAGTCACTGGGTCATGGATGCATGCTGTTTTTGAATCATGTTTGTGTTATGTTCCAAGGGCATGGGTAACTCCTGTTTTCAGTCTTGTATTTGATTTCAAACGATCTGTCTAGCAGTAACTTCTACACAATCACAGAAAGCTCAAAAAAACATTTAATGTTTTAAAAGAGTATCTGCAAATCCTTCAATCCTACGCTTACTAGAATTACTAGGAGGTATTACAGGGTGCGCTACAGCTAGTTTTAATTTGATTTCTCATTGATTTTAAGCTGAGGTGGCAATGTATGGAATCCGCGTGAGTTGGACCTCACCCTGCTACCGGAGATCTGCGAAGGCGACGTTGGCTCGGAGAAGCAGAGCTTCTAAGGGTGAGTTAATGCTTCCTTCATCAGGACTGCCTACGCAACCGCAGGGGAGGAGATCTGATAGCAGCGACCTCCCTGGTGGGGCGATTTGAAGAACCTTGCTCGTAAAAAGTAAGTAAGGAATGGCCTTTCTGAAACTGGTATCTGTTTTGTTAGCAGTATTGAGAGAATAAGAGCCCATAGGATTATGGAGACAATTCTCTGGTGCGGTTTTGCAGATTTCAAACAAGGAAAGATTCCTGGATGATGTGGCCATCCAAATGAGCAATACTTCTAACCACATGATACTTAACAGAGGACAGTTAGTGTATTACATGATCAGATGCACATTCCTCTCTGTTTATTCTTTGAGCTCGTGAGACCTTTCTCCAAAGGTCGCAAAGCTTTAATCTAAATGTGACTAACTAGTTTAGAAACCTTTTAGCAACAGGGAATCTTGTCTTGGTCTTATCTGTGTGATGCCTGGATTAGTGAGGTCATATATAAGAGCTGGGTATTTTAGACTCTGTGCTACCACAATAAAATCAAACTAATGAATCAGAATCTAAAAGCCTGTATGGTTGCAGATGGTTCTTTACTGCTCAGATCTTTGCTGTGCCAATACGACAAAGAGATTTTGGAGGGAAATAAGTTATGCTGTAAATCAGGATGAACATGCATTCTAGTTTTAACCAGAAATTTGTGTTGAAGCCTGAGATCCCCTATCTCAAAAATGAGTGTGTGGGCCAGGTCTGAACCCCTCCTGGCCAAGGTCAGGACTTAAAGAAATAAAATATTTGTCAAGAGAGATCTCAGCCAGCAAATACAGGGTACCCTGTTGCTAGCCTGTATTTAATGCACATTAATATTGAAAGGTTCATGTATGGGAAGTGATGACTAATTCATTAAGAAGTTTGTTGTTTGTTACGGCTGATAGTACCTCATTTTCTTCACTTTTGAGTGAGAGCCGATGCACCTCCGGTAAATCATACGCTCTGTAAATTCATCAGCCTACAATTCAGTTTGGATTAGACTTAATACAGATCTAACTGGGAGACTTTGTAAAACATAAGCTTTTACTGAAAGTGTTGGTATGTGGCGTTCTTCAAATTAAAAATGCAGGTACATAAATGGTGAGAAAGACATGGCATGAAAATAAATAGGAACTAGAAATGGTGAGGAGCATCAATAATAAATATATGGGTGAATTTACTGCATATGCTAATGTAATTGAATTAATCTGTGATCTGTGTGTTTCCATATGTACATTTACATATACATATATATATACACACACATACACATTGCATAAACATGCTGCCTCTGTGGGATGGAACACATCTATTAAAATATTAGTTAGCAATATGTGACTGCATGTGCATGTGACTGATAACCAAAAAAAGATCATATATTTTAGCAGTTATACTTTAAAACTAAACAATTTTTTCTGCTACAAAAATGCTGGTGCATTCTTGCTTGTGATTTTGTTGTTCAGATTTTAATTTTGCATATACTGAGACAGTTACATACAAATTTCTTTGT